GTTTGACCAGCTTTGATTATGACTGACATGCAGATACTTCAGGGTGTCTTCACTCATTCAGGAACCTTCCTAAACAAAGTTGACTTTTAGCAATGGTACTGCTACCTGGTTGTAGGCCAGGCTTCTCTCAGAAGAGATGTTTGGTTTGCGAGTGCTTCTTCAGCTTGGGAATTGGCCAACTTCTGCTGATAAATGACCCACTCAGACTGAGGGTGATGGTTTCCTTTTTCTGTATTTGGTGCCAAATGGAAAAAATGGTATATAGGTTCACTATGAGGCAAAAAACAAACAAAAAACCCCCAAACCACACGCAACAATGTATCACTTCCAGCGTGTTTTAAACGAAAAATCAGAACGGATTATGTTTTCATCACAACTGTGTTCCAGCCAGGTGAGGAGAGCTACCTTCGTCATGCTTCCCTAACCTATTAATCTCGGTTTCGTACACCTTTCAGCAAAAGAAGCATCACATTGAAGCTACTTTGAATGCATCGTGTACCTGAATATTGTTGCTTATTTGCTGGATGAATTACTTGCAAGATGACATGAAAAAACAAACAAAAAAAAAGGCATAATTTCCTGTGGTCGACTAATCCATTAAGCCTTCCGGGAGGCATGTAATCAGATAGAATCTAAGCTCTGTAGTGGTGCAGAGTGAGCATGTGCACAGAGCGCTATGTTAAAGTATAAAATATATCACATACCAAACGTGCCCCACATTCTAAGGTTTTCTTGGATCAATCCAGAATTTTCCATAAAATATTCTGAGCTCTCCTCACAGATTTATCTGCTTCCAACCACGGACTGAAATAACATGACTGAGCTTTAAGATGTTCTGGATTCAAAGCAACATCCCGGTGCATCACAGGTGTCTCTTTCAGCTTCTCCTACCACAGATTTGTTAACCGTTTGCACAAACCTTCACAGCCCTGCCAAGCATCCTTTGCTTATCCAGCAAAGCTCAGAAGCTGTCTCCTGCTAATTTATCCAGAAAGATGCACAACAACAGCGTGGAAGCAAGCTGCTGAATGCCGATGTTAGGCAGCCTACCAGCTCTTATTCCAAAGTCTTCAGCAACATGTTATTTATTTCTGTATTTGATGTTCATTTTCTTGTTGGCTTTGATTAGAGCAGGGACGCAATAAACTACTTCCATTCTTCCTGAGTCAGTCTTGACTAAACAGTTTCTAAAATGTCAGGACACATACACCACCACCCGTCTTTCCAGTAATAAAAAATGTAATGGCTCATAAGGGCCAGAAAATCTTTAAAAGTAAGAGGCTGAAATTAGTCAAGTATGCTAATTGTGAAATAAATATCATTTAAACAATCAGTTGATCATTTGGTTTCACCGACTGCTTCACTTCCTAGATATTCCATGATCAGCTGTAAGTGGGATTACTCCAAAGTGGAAGTTTTTAGGGTCACTGAGGGCTGAGCATATGCAGAGCACAGTAAAGGTGCCGACACTGCATGTTGCATTTAATTGTTTATAGATGCACTTGAGAGAGCATTGAAGTGACTCCAGAATTAAAATGACAGTTTACATTTTCAGGGTTTGCCATTGCTCTCAATTGGCTTTTTGCTAATTGAACGCTGTATACAATAAAGAGAACAATATGTGACCGTTACGTGACAGAAGCCTGTGCATTTTCCTTTTACTGCTGATTGCTAAACAAAAATATTCATTAAAGTCCTAGAAGTAAAACCCGTGGCCCCTTTGGAGTGCACAAGAAATTCCATTATCCAGGAATTGTGGTGGTTTGGAAGCTTTCGCAACACTGGAAACTCATTTACAGTGTTTCTCCATGCACTGCATCCTAATATATATATATAAACACCTGTTATCTCCCCCCGCCCACCACCTTTTTTTATTGAGCTGATTTTAAAAAACCACAAACAAATTTAAAGGTTCATTTTCATCCGACCTCTTTTTATTAAGCAAAGTATCAGAATGGACTGCAATTAGTTGTTTCACAACTAAAACAAAACCCAAAGATGACTGAGGGGATGTAAAGAACATTTTAGTACTGTTTGAAAGTACTTGCATCTACATCAGAGTATTAAAAGTAGGTGGGTGAAAATGTGACTCACATTTGTTACGTACATGTGCGCGCGCCGGATGACTGTATGCCAGTGGATGTGACATTGTTGAGAGAAGTAAGACATAATGAAGTTAAGCAACCTTGTACTGAAAGTAGTTTAAAAGCACCTCGGACTCCATGTGCTCGAGATGTGATAACTATGTCACAGCAATTAAAAAAATGTGTTATCAATGGTTACATAACAATCAAGATAACTTAAAGCCATAATTTTTTTTTTTTAAAGTATATATTAGCCCTCAAAAATCAGCTGTCTATATGTTGAGCCGCCCAGTTGAAATTAATTAAAAACAAGACTGGCCTGAAGTAATGCAAAAACAAACTATTAGTAATGGACAAAAACTAAAGAAAGCATGGTCCTAAACATGTTTTAACAAAACCTGCTTAAAAAAATTGAAATGGAAATCAAGACACACGGTAACCCGTGTAGCACTGTTTGCTAATTCTACCATTGGTCATATTTCTTTAAAAAGAACATTCACAAGCATATCGAGTTAATTGATCTCTACGGTACATATCTGGAGAGTAAGATATAAAAAAATAAAGATGGAAAATAAATCGGCTCTCAGGAGAAAATTCCCCTGTTACCGATAACCCAAAAAAAAAAAAAAAAAATCTTCTGTACATATCAGACTCTAAAAGATATATTTATATTTTGTCACCTCTTGTTAATGATTTACATCCAAAAATAAAATTAAATCTTCAGTCAGTCTTTTTAATCTTTTTTTTTTAAAAGTGATCAGTAAAAACAGCGGCTGGTAGGTCCTGCAACGTTACGATGCAGCGTGACAGTCGGGAGGTCAGTACTTCACACATGAACGACAACAGAACCAAAGTAGAAGCCGGTTCCTAACAAAGCTAGGACTACTGGTCGTCTTTACCACAGTGTTGGTGACTACGCCTCAGTTTTCTTTTCTTTTAGTTTTTACAGTGTCTTGTCATATCGTCCTGTCACAGCAGCATGGACTCCTGCATGGCAAACGCCTCCTGTGCGTGCCTGTAGTGTGGTCCTCCAAACAGCTGAGGAAGCTGTTGCCGTAACACAGGCTGCTGGTGCTGCTGCTGCTCTAGGAGTTGCGGTCGGTACTGACGCAGGGCATCCGGGTTGTCGGGGAAGGTGAACTCTGCGAGGGGCGACATCTGCGCCTTCTGGAAGCTGGGCGAGCGAGGCATCCCACCTGGGGATGTAGGGGGCAACTCCTCCGTTGGCTCCCACTGGAGCCCATCTACACCCTGCTGAGCTGGCAGGTAGTGTGGGTTTGGCTCACCCCGCTGGTGTCCTTCGAACCTGTAGACCTGTGCTGTGGAGGTGAGCTGTTGCAGATAGATGGGGGTGGAGCTCCCTTGGTTGTCCAGCTCCGGGGGAGGCCTGGGGTTCCGAGGATTGCGGGCGGAGCTGTGCGTTGGCTGCCTGCGGTAGGTGGCGAAGGTGTTATTCATGAGGGTCTTATCTGGGGAGAAGCTGTTGGGCTGTCGCTGGGTGGTGGCATACGCTCGTTCTCCATACAATGCACTGGGCGGTGCAGGATATCGGGAGGGCAGAGCATAGAGTCTGTTGTCCACGCTTTGGGTGGGATGTGGAATGGGGACCTCAGTAGTAGTCCTGCCTGGGGAGTGCTGATGAGGCGGGGTATGGAACTGGTTCTTTGGGTCAGGGTAGCCAGTCGGAACATTTACAGGACTGTTGTGAGGAAAACGAGGAGGAAGAGGCTGTCTGGCCATTCTGGGCCCGGGTGCCACGGAGACGACACTCCCAGACAGGCTGGACCCGTGGCTCGGGCTGCCCTGATGCAGGGCTGACACATTGTAGGGTATCTCATTACGAAAGGGCCTCAATCTGGACGGAGGCTTCTCAAGCTCCAGGATCTCGAAGTCCTGCTCCGGCAGCCCTGGTACATTATCATACTGGGAGGCATTGGAGCCTCGGTCGGTGCCGGGGGCGTAGCCCTTGGAGCGTGGCCGGCGGTGAGGCTGAGCGGTGTCATCTGGGCTGGAAGGAGCCGGCGATGGCCCTCGGCTCATCTGAATTTCCCGCAAAGCTTCTAGCTTTGTCTCGGAGGGTTTGACCCACCGGGGCCCAGGCATGTCTCTGCGGGAGCTAGAGGCTGCGTTGGAGTTGTGGTTGGCGATGGCGTGAGCCTTTCCTCCATCCACAGCGGTCATCTGTGGTGTTGGGGTGGGGGCTGACAGCGGTGTCGCCCCCCTCTCTGGTGTGGTGTAGGTGGATTGCTTTTGTGTCTCATTTGAGATTTCACCTGACCCCCTGGAGTGGGTTTCCCTTTTGTCCCCCTTGTGGTGACGGATCCGTTTCTCCAGCGATTCCCGGTGGGCTCGGCTCGGGGGCCGTCCGTCCCGCTGGGGGTCCGGTAGAGGACTTGGCTCCCTGGGGGGCTCGGCTGGCTCCGCGTGGCTTTGACCGTTGGCCACGTGGTTTGCTGCGGCTATCTCAGGAGGAAGCTGCCCTAGAGGCTTCTTGGGAAACTCGTCCTCTTTACCTGTAAAAGATCGGAGGGGGAAAAAAAGGTGTAAACGCATTAGAACGCCATCAGGAAACAAAGGTGAGCGGTGATGACTGAACACACTGTGTGGCGCTGGTTCACATCTGATGACGTGTCACAAACGGGCACATGAATTCATGCAACAACACTGCCATAGAGAGTACAAAATAAAGGAGAATACACTCATGAAGACACATAATCACATATCCACAGGCAAAGAGTGGGAGGAGGATAGGGAAAAAAACATCAGAAATAATGTTTGATATAAATTCTCATCATGGGAGACTCAATTAGGAAGAGACATTCTACTGAGCGTGCTCTGAAATTATTAGTCTTTCTACATTTCATTAAACAGTACTCGGCTGCAGTAGTAGCTCCAGGCTTGAAAGGTCATACAGAAATATTTCTTGATTAATGAACCTTCTTAAATGCACTGAGACTTATAAGTACAACTATAAAAAGAGAGAGCGAGTACTCAGCTTCTACAACCAGTACAAGGTTTGACATTAGTACTCAAACTTGCTGCTTTACATCTGAAAGAAATGAGCAGAGCTGACAGGAACACATGGTGTGGGTGGGTTATGTGGGTGTTTTAAGGGAAAAAGTGATGACCAGAGTCAGGTCAGGACGACAGCAGCTGGAGGAAGAGGAAGCGCTGTGGGAGTTATCCAGGAAGTCGACTTATTGGACCTGCATCCACAGACTAAAGAGCGTGTGCGTGACGAAATTACCCACTGACCTCGGTCACTTTTGTTCCACCACAAACTGCTTAAAACCCACCGGGGGACAAAGTTAACGTCTTTCACTTACTGAATTTATTGTTTTAATTTAAAGAAATAGAAACTTGGGATTTTCTACAAATTTCAACTGGTTAAATTTTTTTTCCTAACCAACTTTTCTGTTTTGTTTTCTTCGTTCATTTCCATTCACGTTTATTAGACGAGCCAAAACACAATCCTCTTTTTCATTCGTGCGTTTTATTAGATAACAAAATACAAATCAAACTTGTGTTTCTTCTGCTACTGCAAGACTACAGCCCTCAATCAAGAGGTTTATACAGTGCTGTGAAAAAGTGTTTGCCCCTTATTAATTCCATAGTTTTTTGCATATTTATCACACTTACATATTTCTGATATTGGAACAAATATCAATATAAGACAAAGATAAGGGAAGAATACAAAACGCAGTTTTTCATTTATTAAGGAGGAAAGACGTTATAAGCCCTTAACCCTAATAACTGCTTGTGCCACCCTTCGTAGCAACTGCAATCAAACTTTTGCAATTACTGACTACGTGTGTTTCACATTGCTGTGGAGGAATTTGGGCCCAGAATTGTTTTAATTCAGCCACACTGGAGGGTTTTCCAGCACAAACAGCCTGTTTAAGGTCAAAGCACATCAATCAGATTTGGGTTTAAGCTTTGACCCGGCCACTCCAAAGCCTTCATTTAGTTTTTTTTGAGCCATTCAATCACTGTCCTGCTCCAGGTCCAAAGTGCTTCAGGACACAAACTGATGGCTGGAGATTCCTCGTCAGGGTTTTGAATCTTAACTGAGGTAAGTAAGGCCTGCAGTTGTTCAGATTTTGTTTTAAGTGTCCTTTAACTTGTGTGATGCAAACAGAAAAGTGATGCCAGTGTAGTGAGCGATTGTTTTTCCAGCATGACTGTAGAAATGCTGCTGTAGAGTCTTTTCACCTCACCTGCTGACAGGTCAGAGGCAAATAAAATTGCTCTTTGAAGTCAACACCCCTGTATTAAATGCCATTTCTGCAGTTGTTGGAAGCAATAAAGAACTCAGAGTACTGAGTAAATTACATGCTGTGGTGATTAAAAAAAAAACTTAAATTAAGCCAAGTAAACACTCAGAATCATAAAACTGTCAAATCTCACAGTTCATCCTATTCAGACACAAGGATGCAGATTAAAATAGCCCTGCTGCACAGCAGCACATGTGGCAGCAGATAGCTGTTAAAACATAAGTTTAACAAAAGCCTCCAGTGTTCAAAAAAAGGCCCATTATCTTGTCAGCAGGCAGGAAAGCGAACAGACTACTATTAAAGTTGTGTGGGCTCTGGAAGAAAGGAAAGCCCTTCCTCCTTCAGCTACAGCTGCTGTTATAGAGGTTTATATAGTGTGGCGCAGGAGGAAAGCAACCACACAGGAACCTGGAAAAGACTGTGAAGACAGGTGTAGATGCATTAAGGACCTTTATCTAAATTTACGGCTGTGCCTTTAAGTAACATTAGCACAAATGCAAGGTTAATTTAGAAGATGAGGAATTTTGTCTCTAAAACTAAAGTTCTCCACACAGAGTCATGCAATACTTTTAGTTTCCCACCAGAGGGCGCCTTATATCATCAATTTTACATCTGCAGCCACATTGTAGTCCAAACAAAAAGGAGAAGGGGATCAAAAACTAAAGGTAAGAGATGAGCTAACCATTGAAGGACTCCAAATAAGCAGTAAAGCAAGTCTGAAATATTATGCTGGAAGATCAGTTTGTGACAGAAACAAAGAAAAATAAACCCGAGTGCTGCGGGACAGACAGGCGACAGACAGGACGGACTGACTGTGGGACAGATGGACAGAGACATGGAGAACGAAGGACCAGTCAGGATAGCCCACCGGTTGCTGTTGTAGGAGGGAATGTGGCCGCCGCTCACAGCCACACTTTTGTTGTTGTTGGCTTACATTGTTTGAAAGAAGAAGGGAGAGAAGGCAGATTAATGAGGAGACAGAGCAGGATTCGAAAAGCACAGAGCACTTATCCCGGCTGAAGTTGGGTTATAGGGTAAGTAAATCCAGATAAGGGAAAGAAACCCTGGATATGTTACGCTTGCTTAGTGGTACAGAGCCCAGGCTGAGTGAGAACCTACATAGACACCAGTTAGTTTGTTTGTCAGGGCACCGACTAACTCTGACTAATGTGTCTATTTTTGTGTAGTTGTTTTTTTCCCTTTCTTAGTGGTAGCTCACTCATCTTGTGGACTTCAGGTGGACCCTCAGAGGATCTTCATGTATGGATAGAGCCACGCTAGTACCAGCTTGGGTGTACGCTGATTCTTTGATTCCCTTTGGCCTCTTGATTGTGAACATCTCAAACAATTCTCTTACATTTTGCCACTAAATAGAACAATTAAGAAAAGTTGGAAGATGTTTCTATTTCCAAATTTATAGAACTAAATTGCTTTTTCTCCTGACCAACAGATGAAGTAGATCATAGATTGAGTGTACAGCGATATCCTCAAGAATAAAAGCGTAAAATCTGACATTTGGCTTGGATTTGTTTGTCACATTTGCACTAAAAGGGCAATTGGAGGTGAGGTTTCTGGAACTGTTTGTGCATAGAGGAACTTTTGTCACTCTCCAACACAAGTTTAAAACCAACTGGAGACTGATTTACTTGAGAAGAGCAGACTTTTTGATAATTTATAGAAAATGGATTGTTTGGTGCAGAAGTACCTGGTGCGGGCAGCTCCAGCTTCGCCCTCCTGAGCTCTGTCATGGACGCCTGCAGCTGCTCGATCACAAAGTCGTCCTCGCAGAAGAAATCTTTGGACAAAGTCACCTGCAGAAACTCCACCAGCTCCTCCATGGACAGCTTCATCAGGTGCTCTGCAGACACACACACACTCACACTGATGAGAAGTGTTGTGAGGGGTGAAATCAGCTGGTTTCAGTTTGTGGAGGAAACAGTCTTACTCTTGTGCAGTTTGAGGAGCGTGTAGGACATGGCAGGCAGCACTCTTTCACCCTCCAAGATATAGATGTCCCAGATCCTGAGGGTCAGTGTGAAGGGAGTCTGACCACGAGCAGAACGAAAAGTTAGACGATAAGTTACTGAAGAAGGCAATTTATCTATATTTTTGTGACTGTCAGCAGTTGCCGTGAAAAAAAAAAAAACGAACTTAACCTCTTACTTTACTGGGAATTATTTTAAAGGAGCACTGATTACTCTAACTTACACAAAACATAATCGTAATCTTTTAAAAATCCTAAATACTGCATGCATGCTACGACCTCCAAAAGCAGCCGTAGCTTTGCACGTGCAGCAGACTCTGAGTCAGCGATGGGTCAGTGTACAGTGCTGCTTTTTGTTGTGATTACCAGTCAAAAGGAAAAAGAGAAGTGATATTAGTCGTCACAGCTTTCTTGTTGAAAAGGAGTGGGAAAATGTCCCGGCATGGTCTCGTCAGTCATTCCAAAAGCTTGTTTAGTCACTAAAGGCGATTGAGTCTTTGCAGCTTTTGGAACTCTTTTAAAAACATATTTATATCATGCGGTTTGCCATGACTGCTGATCCTTTTATCCTCTTTAATATCCAATATATTCATTTGTAACCTTTCATATTTGTTGCTTTCATTACGGTTCAGAGCTTTGTAACTTTCTTTGAAAGTCTTGGTTTTAAAGGTGCTTTATAAATACAAATAAAGTAAAAATCCACCACTGACAGGCTCCTAAACCTCTCACATTCCTGGCGATTAAAAGCTGTTTACGGGCTGTCAGAAACGTGTTGGGTTGGTTGGTTTTGATCATTGAATTGGAGCAGCTCATTGGCTGAAACCAAGTAGAGAAATCACAGCATTGGTTGTTAATAATAAAAAATTATTCAATAACTTCAGTTACTGATTGTTGGGTTTCTCTCTGCAACATAAAGCACCTTGGATGGATGGATTCACAATTATCCGGGCTTGGCATCAGGAGTACACTAGCTTATAAAGCCCTGAGGCTGGGAGTCATGAAACCCTTCACGTGTACAGGTGCCAACAAACTTATGATGGAAATACCCAGCTTATAAGTTAACCAAGTTACGTTGCTGCTCTTCTACATGTCTTCATAGATCCTTTTGAAGGTTGTGAGATCATATCTTGCTTGTAACTGCACTCACTCTGTCCAGAAAGCACTGGAAGAACCACTTCATGGTGTAGAGACTGGTGAACACCTCTTGGTTGTCCTGCAGCAAACAGAAAATGGTGACAGAGTGAGGATTAAGCAGCCACCTCTGAGGGATTAAAGGTTTCATTTCTGGCACTATGACTGGCTGGTACGTCATGCAGCACTTGCTTCATTATTAATTGTCACACAGGTCTCGTGTTTCTCACCAGGTGCTGTTTCAGTTTGGGCATCATCTTCTTGAGGATGCGGTCGTGGTGCTCCTGGAAACGCATCAGCTTCGGGAAACCAGGGACAAAAAACCCTGAAGGTGTGGAGAAAAGAGCCGTAATGATGATCATCCCTTAAACTCTGTATGTAAACTTACACATCTGTGTGTCCAGATGTTTAAAGTTAGATTCATGAGCTCACTGCAGCAGCATGCGTGCTGCTAATTTGTCTTGAGTGCTTCCTCAATGATGCCTTTCGCTGATAATTTTATCGCTTAACGCTTGATAAGACTGGAGGAGGTCCAGAGTCGCTCAAGGTCATTTCAGTGCAGAGACCAGAGTCAGTTAAACACTCTAAATGTCAAAAATGCAAATCTGGCAGCTGTGGTCAGAAGATTCGTGCCTTAACCTGACATAACAGATGGTTTGTCACCTTCTGAGCAGCTCTGTGGAAACAGGAAAAGGCCAGGCATGTTTTTTTAAAGAAGAACTTGGCAGATGATCTGAACCCTCTGTGACAGCAATTTTAGGCCAGTAAATTCAAACGTGGTGATTACACAAAGTGCAACGGGCAATCAAAGTTTGTCTATGCTGAGGATTTTTGTAGTTTGACATCTGAACTCCACTTTAAGGAGTCAGCATGCAACACTCAGGCTGCAGGAGCTGTGCACACTGAATTCAGTACAAGCGGTCTGCACATCATGTGCAAGAAACTTCCTCTTTTTCTTTTCTTCTGCACATTCAGTTACAGTTCTTGTTTAGTTTAACCATTAGTGGAGCAGCTGTACATTCCAGCTTCTGTGTTAGGAAGCTTTACTTGGCGATGAACATGAGAACAAAAGAGTTGAAAGAGAAGTATATAAATACGACCACAGGCTGCACTTTGAGAACCCTGAGCCTTCAGAAACAGGTGCGCACGTTACCGTGCATGGCGTGCTTCTGCCCAGACAGCAGTTTGACGAGAGCCCAGAAGGCGTCCTCTTCATTCATGTAGATCAGCAGCAGAGCTGTGATCTGACTCATGCCCTGGCAGTAGCCCACCTCCTGCAAACACACATCAATCAGCTGAGGGGAAACAACAACGGAGCCATTCTTTGCTTTACTCTTGTAAACTTGGCTTAACTTAATTTACATACAGTTCCTTTATTTGAGGTGAAACACTGAGATAGTTTATAGTGAGATAAAAGTGAGATTAAAGGATATACAAACTTTGATAAAGTAATATCTGTAAGTGCAGATAAGTCATCTCCATCCATTATAGAAATACTTTGGTGACCTAACAATAAATCTGTAGTTCAGCATTTTTCAGCCCTGCTTCATTATTATTACACACAAACTAACACCACTGTTATCACCATTAGACATATATTATTTTATTATGTTGAATCGAATGGCAAACTGTGGGTGTCAGGGTTCACTGTGATATTGTGATACTGGGACACTTGGAATGGTTTTCATTTTTCCTTTAAACATTGCCCAATTATACATTTCACATCTGACACCTATATGTCGTCTACCTCTGAAATATGAGGGATCAAAAGTGTTGGAGAAAAAACTCTTAGCTTAGTTCACCTCTGTGTGTTTCAGGAGGTTGTAACTCTGAAAGAATTCACAGCACGAAGGTAAAACTGGAAAAGTTACTGTACTTCTTCTTCTTCCCTACTTCAGGGATGACAGTGAGTTGATAAAGTTGAATAATAATCAAGAATTATCTTTTTAAAGGAAGACTTATTTTAAACATCAACGGGAAATGATTTCAACATTGCAGTAGGGTAAATTTAATGTGAACTTTGAAGGCGACGTCGATGTCAAAATCAAACTTTACTAACTTAATATTGTTTTTACCCCAATAATCTCACTAGACTACAGTTTTTACTCCAGGTACTACACAAGTATTACCATTTATTGTTATTAGGTTAGTAGTTTAGTAGGTTACCTACTGTTACTAAATGGTTTTATCGTTTTAGTACTTTTATTAAAAAAGAAATGATTGTTGTTACTTCTTTTGGTAATATCAAGCTATTTACTTAATTAGTGTTTCACATTGTTAATAGACTATTACAGTTTTATTATTAGAGCCAGACCAATTTTTAAGACTGACACTGAAACTTGGTAATTTAAAAATCAAATATATCAGCTGATATATATTTCTTTTCTCCTGAAACATTTGTAACCTGCAGTTTAAAAATAATCGTTTCATTGTCGCTCACACTCGCCCCGAGTCTACTCGGATTAGCTGCTTGTTGTATTTGTGGCGTTCCAAACAGGGGAAGTTGCAGAGTGCCCTCTGGTGGACAAACTATGCAACACTGGCTGAAGGGTTTTTCTCTTGTTTCTTGTTTACTTTTTACATTTCTATATATCAGCCAATATAAATGCAGTTATATCAGCAAGTACTTCATATGAGCCCCACTGACATACCAGGTTTTACCTAGCTGTAATAAAAAGTGTTACCAATATTGCTACAATAACAAAATATTAGATTGGTGCCTTCGTGTGCACCTTTATTGTCTTCAGTGAAAATGTTACAACTCAAAGTCTTCAGGACGCTAAAAGCGAGCTTGGATGACTCACCGTGTTGTACATGGAGTAGGCTGTGAGGACGTGGAAGAGCGCCTGCTGCCTGAAAGCACAAACAAACCACAGTTCATACAAAAACTTTAATAAACACACTTCAGTGGCGTCTTTGGCTTCAAGTTAAGATGCATGCATGTGGCCTGGAGCTGCACACCAGCCTTGATGCTGAGTTGTGTCGCTGCAAAGCCTGAATGCACTTCCAAATATCAGAAAAGCAGTGTGAAAAGGCAAAACGGCGTTAACGGGTACAGGTCTTTCCTCAGAGTCACGCAACAAAGCGGAAGGCAGAGCAGAAAGGGGACGTGAGATCTCTCACTTCCACACTGGAGAAGCCGCCTTCTCCTCGCAGAGAGTGAAAATGCATGCATATCTGCAGATGATTACTGACTCCCGTTGTGTTTGTGCTCTTGTTACTTTTACTGAGATTACGTGTCAAATAGTGAGAGCAGTCATTGTTCTTGGGCTTTGTGACAGTGAAGTGAAGGCTTGTTGTATCTTCCCCCATGCAGGCACATTTATGTACAAGGTTATGTAAATTGAATTACTCAGGAACTGAAAGGCTCCTAAAAGGCACACAGGAAACTTTTAAGCTCAAAAATGCAAAGCTGCTTTAAATAAGCAACACAACCAACATTACTGCAGCTGTGTGCAATGAACTTGCAGATGGTTGCTTGGATGTAGTAAAATGTGAAAGTACCCACTTGACATCATAGCGATGCATGAACATGATGTGGTCCCTGTAGGTTCGGTTCACATCCAGGTCGATCTGCCGGATGTCGGGGGATATTCCTCTGGCTCTGGCCTTCAGTTTCTGAAAACAGCCACAAAACAAAGAATGAATGCAAGCAGAAGTGCCATTTAGTACTAAATAGCAGGCATCTGTGTCCACAGAGTTTGTGGGTCCACCTTGCTGATCGAGCTTTCGAAGCCTCAGCTGATAACTTGGCACCCAACGCTCACTTCTGGCTTTAAAAAATAATAAACACTAGCGCTGAGGCTTCGAAATGCACAGTAGGGTCATATTATGATATCACTGCTATAGAAACGTCTTGCAAGAAAACTGTGCCAGCTGAAGGTGAAAAAACTCACTTGTTTCCCCACTTGAGGTGACCCCCCCCCAAACCCAAACAAACAAACAAACAAACAAAATGGTCAAGTAGAACCAGACTACAACAGAGGAGAAGCTAGCAGCAGGTAATGTGTGACCTAAAGGAAAACAAGCATCTCAGAGCATGGCTGGATCACTCTGTGTTACAGGAAGAGCAAATAGTGGATGGAAATTAATGATAAGATTACAGGGTGATGAAGGAGGGCTCTACGCAGCTGGTTAAAAGAGAACAGATAAAACATCCCATGTACTAAATATTTTTCACTTCTTTTACACGACAATATTGTTTCAGGGTGAAGCAGCAGACTGAGGTGTGAGCGGTGGATGAGAGCAAGGCTGCTGCCTTAGGCTACGTCCACACGTACCCGGGTATTTTTGAAAACGCAGATTTTTCTATGCATTTGCACCTTTCGTCCACACGTAAACGGCGTTTTCGGTCACTGAAAACGGAGATTTTTTTAAAAACTCCTGCCAGGGTGGATATTTTTGAAAACTCCCTTTTTTGCGTTTATGTGTGGACGAGAAAAACGCAGTGTCAAAGGTGTGCCCATTTTTTGACGTCACACTGTGCGCCAGGTTATTGTTTCGGGGAATATTAATTTCTACAATGGCGGACTTAGACAAAATACCATTACTGTTAATTTTACTCTCTGTAGTGTTTAAATATATACATACATATATACACACACAGTTACTGTCCCTCCACACATAGGACTCAGTTCTGCTTCTATGCGCCATCTTTGTTTACTCTTTCCCACCCAGGCTGACTTCTGATTGGCCAACATTTCTACACGGATAGGAATATAGCGCCACCTGCTGCTTTGGCATGTTCCTAGCAGCGTTTTCCTTCGTTTTTGGCTTTTACGTGTGGACAGGATTTTTATTTTTTTTTTTAAAAAACAAAACGAAAAATCTCCGTTTTCAAAAAAAAACCCCGTGTACGTGTGGACGTAGCCTTATTTTCATTAATGCTCTTCTTCTAGAATAATTACCTGATTTAGATGTTATGCAACCCCAGGCTTTAGTGGAGTTTGGTTAATTGGTGTAGGTGTGAATGGTCTCTGTGTGTTTGACCTGCTACAGACTGGTGACCTGTCCTGTTCTAAAGCATGTTTTACCTTCACGATCTTGAATGAAATGATCTAAATTGGTAAAATGAATAAAACCTCTAAACTTAATCTTAAATATTTATTCTGTTGATTTTTTTGCATAGATTATTGCAACTTTTCTTGATATCATTTTTTCTTACTGACAGTATGTAATGCTAACTACAGACAACAAAGTTTGGGTAATAAATGTTTAAAAAAACAAACCAAACACGACTAAATTACACCTCCTGAAATCTGATGGATTATTGTGGACAGAGCTGCCCTGCTCACAGGGGAGAAATCTTCTCTTTTTCACTTTATATTTTCCACATCATTTAGTGCATGTGGCCTAACTCATAATTAGACCACTTCCCAGCCAATGAAGGCAGTGATATATTGATTTTGCTAGCTAAACTTTCTAATGAGATCCAAACTTTATGCAGGAATGGGGAAAAAAACCAAAAAGATCTTTACCGTGTGCCGGAGCAGGCCGTGCAGCTTTGCACAAACACGATTAAACTTCCAAAGCTGCTGCTTGGCCACAATAACTCTGAAGCTCAGTGAAATCAAATAAAGCCGAGGTGTTCGTCAGCTCGCTTATGAATCTTTATGAGGCTCACGTTTTGATGAACGCTGCAGACATTTTATAAACTTGAGCCTGGGAGACAGTGTTTAGCTGAGAGTTCCTGGAGTGATACCTCATAGAAGTCCTTCTTCTCCTCCTTTATTTTGGGTATATCGAGCAGCAGACACCACACCTCCCCTCGGAGCTGCAGGGGGATTCCCTTGTAGATCCTCCTGAGCAGCTGGAAGGAAACAAATAGCAGGAGGTCATCGTTAGCAACCTTCAAAAAGGAACGTTAACCTCAGACAATCACTCCACATTTAGGCCATCAGAAGGGCCGTGCAAGGTTTAGTCCAACAAAACATTAAATGTGAAGACAGGATGAATGTGGTGGTTCTTTCTTTTCCTCTGCATATTCAGCATAAGGCGATAAGCTCACAAAGCCTCATCTGTGACTTTAACAGGTGTCACCGTGCTCTTAGGATCATGGCCTCAATCTCTTGTGAAGCACTTCAGCTGCAGATCTCTGGTTAAAAATATTAGTTTAATAAAGTGTAAAGTCTTGTTCTGGGAGCCTTTCACATTCACTTTAATTTCTGGATTATTGAAACTCATTTTTCATCTCCTCTGCCTTCACTTAGTCCAGAAGTCACTCTCATAGATCTCAGCAGTGAGGTTCAGGCTATAATGACAGCACTCATGTTCTGATTAGGAGGCATAATACTGTAAAATCCACAGCAGACTTACTGTGAGCTCGATTATATGTAACTGGTATGAACCACAAATCTGTTTGATGTCAAACTTGTTATAACAACAACAAAAAACAAATACAAGAACTGCTCTACCCACAATCCTAAAACTGAAACAGCGCCCCTGATTGGTGGAGATTGTGGTTACCATGGAAACCTTTAAGCACAAAGCTTTAGAAACATTGAGAGTGACAATCACAGCCAGGAACAAAGTGCTGTAGCATACTGACACACACCCCACAAAAACCTGTCAAATAAACTATTATCCAACACTGACAGCAAAAAGGATTCAGCTCAATGATTGTGCAAAGTCTTTGCAATGCATCATGGGACGAGTAGTTTCTTCACTGTTAAAACTAATAATGTAACGTTTGTACTTTTGACTTTTTGTGTTGTGTTTTTTTTTTTTATCCAGTTAAAATCTTTTTATGGTCCTGACTCAGCCTGTAGCTGGTTTCAATGTTAGTTCATATCAGCATTTTCTAAAACATCAACAGAGTACATACAGAGGAAATTCACTTCCATTAAATTATGGTGATTTGAAGGATCTAATTAGCTTTTTTCTTTACTTTCATCTTAAGTTATTTTTAGTTTATGTAACTATACTGCAAAAATGTAACTATGGCAACACATTTTCTTTGTACTTTTATGTTGACAATGTTGTTTTAATCCTCGTTTTTAAAGGTCTAGTTTGTTTTTATTGATGTATTTCTTGTTTTTAGCTTTAGTAAAAAAAGCCTTTTAACGTCCGTGCTCTTAGCTAAGCTGGCTCATTTTTAATTGTCCTCTATCTCACAGCTGGCTACAGACGAATAGCTGGACTGTAAACACACACACAAAACGTCAGCCAAGAAGAACGTCTCAAATGATCCATCCACAATTAATACTTTGCTGTGTGTGACTGGATTAAGTTTTGAAAGTCTGCTTAATTAAAAGCTTCAGAGGAAGAAGATGAGGGCTAAACTCTTTTTGGGCGCTATTAAAAAGACGAGAGCCTCGTTCAAAACGGGAGACGCCTGGACCCGGTACACGTGGTAGCCTGTGGCTGGGATGAGTAAAAGAGGTCATTAAGCCACTGACACTCCACCAAATGAAATACACGACCAAACTGAGTAAAATTCCACATTTCTCTGACTTTCAATGTCATTGGGAACATTTTTAATAATCCAAATACACCAAACAAGGATATGTTCCGCATTATAACTTAAACAGGAAGTTGCACTGCATAAACTAGTGATTTAAACAAACACACGGACAGGAAACACCAAGTTGCATGGCCGTAGCTGCAGTCCACTGACATGTAACTGGGGCATCTGGCAGCTGCCAAAAATTACACAGAATACAGAAACCTTCCCTCATCTTGTCAAAGCTGTCAGACAAACACAAACAGTGCGTGCCTGAATGTACGCTGCACCCTCCCTGAGAGAAAGCAAAGGGCTTTGGAAGGTGAACCACGACCATCTGGCTGGATGCACTCGGAGACTGCGGGCAGTGAGAAGTCTAGATAGAATAGACTGCTATGCATGCAGAACAGTCCAGAGTAATCCAGTGTCGACAAAGAGATGGGAAATCAGTCACACTCCGGCTGAGGGAGATTAAGTCTTAAAAGGCAAACTGCTGGAACAGCAAAGCTAATCGCAGCAGTGAATTCTCCGTCTCCACCTATTAAAACCCAGCCAGCCGTGTGCGTGTGCACAGGTGACTGACAGCGGAGGCAAACGGAAAGGATGGTAGAGTGTTAGGAGGCAGCACTAAAAACATCCGAAGACTAATCGCAGCACCTCAGTGTTCGGTGCTTCCCAAAACGAGCCAATCCCCAGAGACGCAACTTTGAAGCGTGTTTCCTCTCGCACGCCCACACTGATGACTTGTGTCTATCCGCCATGTTGCAGTCAGGTTGTGTGTTTAACCTCTTCATATTTTTCTAATATTGTAGTTTTATCTTAATGTGACAAATCTATATTTGTGATTGGTCAGATGCTGACATAGATGTTGATGCTAGGGAAGGAACCCTGGACCCCGTCCCTCTCCTGAGGGCGGCTCTTCCGAAAATAAAAGCTGTGCTGGAAGCTGATTGGAACAAAAACATCAATAGTTAAACTTCTAGTGGGGGCTAAAACATTTAACTTGTTTTAGTCTACACAGATCTCAAATAATTCTGCAGAGTACAAAATATTGCAGCAAAAGTGTTTATTTACATTTTATTTCTGAATCTGAACCTGTTTTTGTTGCTTTACAAGAAACACAGACGCAGAGGGAGTCGGGCCGGATTTACATGTACGAGCTGAAAGTTAATCAGACCCCATCTGTAACCTCGCGTCACATGAGTGTGATGCACTGATGTGTGTGTGTCTGTGTGTGTGCAGCTGTTGTGTTTTCACATATAAAGGTCTGAGTGGTGTGTGTGTGTAAGATCTGAGAATTAATGACATTTAGTTGGGTGTGTGTGAAGTGTCCAAAGCCTCCACTCCATCAGCCTCCTACCCACCACACTTGGGACTCGCTTGTTTCTAGTGCAACAGCCTTGTAATTAGGCTTTGATGAGCGAGTCAATGAGCGCATCTGTTACACTAATCATCCTCCGAGCACGAGTGTGTCTGTGTGCCTACATGTGTGTCAACATTTACATTGAACGTGTGCTGTTCACGCTTTGGTTTGCGCTTATCTTCTGCACAGACAGAACTCGCTGTGTGCATGGATTTAAAATATGGAAGGAAAACATTGGGGGTGCTTAAAAATAAGCCCTTAATTGGTATTAAAATGTCTTAAAATCCTCCCTTTAAAGTCTTAAAAATGACAAATCTCTCACATTGTACCCAGACTCTGAATCGGCACACTTTTACCTGCATTACATTTAGTTATGACTTATTTAGTTTTGGTTAATTTAAAGCTGGACTTGAGCCTCCTTACACTAAACAAGTTCTTCCAGCAGAGTTAAAAAAAAAATGCTGAAGTTGAGATAAATTAAGAACAAAATTCTATTTTTCTTTTTGCTACAACTACAAATAATGAGCTGCACATTATTGTGGCTTCAATTTATGGATCTGTGCTGGCAGTGTTTTTCCCTCTGAAGCTAAAGAGGTCATTGCTGCAGAGTACAGCCTGCAGCAGTGACGGCCTGTATCAAAAACTGGCGTTTCTTCTCCAAGTTGTTAAAAATGTGTCGTTTGACACGGACGCCTTAACCCAGCTGGTTATGATAACAGTAAAACAGGTCTCATCACAGAGTGACAGAGTTTGTATGAGATCAGCAGTTGGATTGGGATGGTGTGGGATCTGTTGTGGTGGAGAGCTGAGCATAACAGTGAAGCTGTCGATTTACTGGTCAGGCTACGTTTGCACCCTCACCTGTGGTCCCGAGCACTGAGTAGTGACTGAAAGACTGAGATTGAAGGAATGGTTGGGCTCTTCCTTAGCTAGAGGGTGAGCAGCTCGGTTATTCGTGAGGGACTTGGAGTAGAGCTGCTTCCCCTCCACATTAAAAGGATTCGGTTTAGGTGGCTCAGGCATCTGAACAGGATGCCTCCTGGACGCGGCATTTCGTTGGAGAGGCATTTCGGGCATGTCATACCAGGAGGAGGCCTGGGGCAGAGTCAGGACTCGCTGAAAAGATTATCTCTCGCCTGTTTGGGAAAAACTTCTTGCCATCCCAGATGAGCAAGAGGTGGCTGACGTGAAGGAAGTCTGGGCTGTCTCCACGATCCAAGTCAAGATAAGCGGTAGGAAAATGATAACTATATGGTCTCAGCACACAAAAGAACACTTTTAAGTGCACTCAAGTATAACTTTTAAATGTGCAGGGTTAATGTTGTGAAGAGGCATACTTTAACTCTAACCGCCATCATTAACTATGTAGGCTTTGGTTTCTAAACCTAGAAAGTTAGTGAAAGCAAGGGTGAAACACCACTGGCGTAATGCTGTTCATCTGGATGTCCAGATGAACAGCATCAACTTTTTGGGATTCCTCTAGTCTAATATAAAATAATAATAAATCTGATTTGTATAGCGCCTTTCAAGAGACCCAAGGTCAAACAAAAGTCAAAGGCTTCTGTAACTAACTGGTTTTTAACTGTTCTTGAATATGTGTGTCACCGGCTGCAAATGTAGACTGAAAAATGCAGAATTTAATGCCCTCTGATGAGAATGCATTGCTTGTGCTATGTACTGCACTACAGCAGCCTGGACAGCAGTGAGCTTTTCAAGACTTGATGGCCATGATGGAAACTGAGAATGATTTTTACAACACATTTGCCAAACATTTTAACTTTTAATACTGCTTTAAAAGGTGTAATATGAGGCGGGCTCCATTTTAAGGGAAGGGATAGTTCAGTAGGTAGAGTGGTCGCCCCGTGATCGGAAGGTCGGGGGTTCCAATCCACTCAACAGGTACCCCTGAGCAAGGTGCCGTCC